TATTTTTAGTCAACATAAAATGATGTCGAAAAAGTATGTTGGTAATAATAACTGCAGTATAGATGCAGTAGCAATGGAATTTGGATTTGATTGAATAACAATAATTGGTACAAGTACATGCGACCATATCTCGAAAACAACAATCAAATAGATGTTAGGCCATATCATTAATGTGAGGACAGATGTGCTGTGTGATTACAAACAATTATCATCTATGTTGTGACATTTATTATTTATATATTCGATCGCACTTAGATCTTCCATAACCTTGCTGTATTACGGATTGACATTCAACGTTAGAAACCTAGGTGGTAATGATTACAGCAATGCGCTCATAGCTGGCGCTGTCGAGATTCTAGCCTATTCCACTTCGATGTATTATGTGGAGACACGACTTGGCAGAAAACTCACTCTATGCATTTCAACAGTGATAGCAGCTATAGGGACCGTGTCAAGTGCATTTATACCTCAATGTAAGTTAACGTTATATATACCTACAACGCAGATATACCACATTTTTTTTTTGGTTTTGCTTTGTTCATATAATCATCTATCGTCCGTCGCCCATTCTTCAAATTGTCCCATTCTAGTTCGAGAACTGTAACTTTGTCAACGTCATTTTTACATGTTTTTGAGATCCTGGACCGAATTGAAACGTTTTTATGAAATATGTTGGATTGTAATTATAATTGTATCCACCAGGTGGGAACACATTATGGGTAATGGTTGCTGTGTACATGATTGGAAAGTATGCAACCACCACAGCATATGGAGTCACTCAGTTATACAGTGGAGAGATTTTCCCAACAACAGTAAGGTAAAAGATAATCCGGGTTTGCCTACTAAGTGAAAGAGACGACAGACACAAATCCTGATTAAGCTGTGCACACAGCTTTGAAACAATGTCCATTATATACAATGGAAAGTTGTGCAAGTTAATGCATTAGTGCAACAATTTGAATTCGGATCGAACTGCCTTAATATATTAACTATAACATAAAGTCTATTTCTTATCTTCTTTTGTTATATCCTGATTCAGGGCGATTGGTGTAATGTCTTCAGTGTCATTGTCCATTCTTGTCAGTGCTCTTGCTCCGCAACTTCTAGTACTTCGAAAGGTTTGGAATCCATTACCACAACTAGTGTTTGGTGGCTTATCGATCATATCAGCGTGTCTGGTGTTGATTCTACCTGAAACACGAGGGAGGAGACTACCTTCCAACATCCAGGAAGCAGAGATATTTGGAAAGTAAAGGAAATTATTTGAGTTCGAATCACACAACTGCGCGTCGGTCAATACTCCCGCTGTACTGTCTTCGTAATATACAACCTCATAATATGTGTCTCTATATCAATATTGTATTCTGACAGAAAACAAGAACCTTCTGAAGAAATGGATACTGGCCTAAACGTTCAGGACAACAACTACATTGAGTTGAAGGCGAAATGATGATGCTCTGTCAACACTGTTCTCAAGTATCTGTTTCTATCAGTGGTATTATATGACCTTCATCGCATTAAAGTATGATTGATTTTCAATGTGACGTTTAAATAATTAAGTGTGCTTGGTTGTGACAATAGTCCATAATATCAGTTCACCGACCAGTGATTAAGTGAAACAAATAATTCATTTCACTGAGTTGGGCAAAATTACCTGATAAAACTTTATCCCAAAACCTGTTGTACAGGATAAAAAGAGCTCTTCCTGACATAAAATCTGATCCGAGGCCGCGGCCAAAACACTTTATTGCGGCGGTTAACTTTATATCCAGACAAATTCGAGTGCTACCATAGGGACAATACGCAATATGCATGTTTTTTCACACATTGTTTTAAAATCATATATGATTAATAACCAAAATTATTGGACATATATTTTAAGGGCATATTATATATATTCAAATGCCAAACATATGTCTATATAAGGAATCGAAACTATACAAAGCTTTTGCATGAAATTAAAAAAAAACTAGTAGCTATTACATCTATCAGTGGCTTGCCTGTTACTTTGGCATGTCTAGATTTTTCACAGAAATGTAAGACATTGTACTTTCATTTAGCAACCTGTATCATTACTGTAGGTTGACTTTGGAATAAAGCTGTATTATCTGTGATAAACTGGTGTAGGATCTTTTTGGATCGAGTTGTCTAGTAGAAGCAAATGTCACGGAAGAAGGGAACGGCGCCCAACTACAGGACAAGTTTGACCAAATAATACAGACGATATATATATGAACAACGAGTGGGAAATACATTTCGAAAGTCAATTAGGAAAAATGGCGACCCGAGTACAGACCTATGCATATCAGGTTGCGAACAATAAAGCCACAACACAAGTGAATTTGAAAAAAAAATCTAGGATACACTTAGAAAGTCATTTCAACAACAAGAATTATTGGATCACCTCACGGTGGAACTAAAACTAGCGATACAAGCTGCATGATATGGCGCAGAAAAATCAACCAGATACAACAGAAACTATACAAGTATAATAAAAAGGTGTGGAAACCTACTGAAAAATGAACTAAAGAACAGAAAACGAAATATAGGGACTGGTCTGCCCTACAAGATCGACTAATGATACACCAACTCAAAGATCATAACACACACAAGGGTCCAGATGAGAAGATAGGGAGATTATAACAATATATTACTGCGGTGTTTGAAATCTAATGCTCGTATTATTGATGGTATACAATTTTGCGACAGTCTCATATTTTTTGAGGTATTTTACGATCAATATTTGTTCACAAATTTGGTACTGGGAAAAAGGGATCATGATCTGATTTTTGATACTTTGATCTGATACTTGAAAGTAAATAAAATGTATTTACAAGTTGAAAAACAGGATTCAAACTCGTAACCATGGCAATAGCCTCACCAATGCAGGCAGACGCGCTCCCAGCACGCCACACTCACTGCTCCGAAATATGCAGTTCAAAACGACGTACAGTGTAGCAAACAGATCCCTCACAGCCACCGGCAGTGCACAGGTCAAACCCCAAGTAAATATTACACGCGGAAACGAAAATATCACCTCATACCAGTAAAATGAATTGAACTAAATTTACTAAAGTCTGCCTAACGCTTCTATAATCTTCTTTGATGAGAGAAATGATTGCATGGAACTGATAATATAATACAATCCTTAAATGAAACCTATAATGTGTTAGTTTTCATGTTGTATTTATGTACATGTATTAATAGGACTCATAAAGGCTCGTTTTAATTATACACAAATTCAACACAGGTGTGTGGTAGCTGGAAACAAACATTGACGCTCCTGCAATAGAATAATATATGTTTTTAATTTAGTGTGTTAAATAATGTGTTTTTAATTCCATGAAATAGCTTTCCCTACAATACAAGATAATTCTGATTTTTGATTTTTCATATAACCAATGAAATATTATTAGTTTAACCAGAATCATTCTGTCATTCTCTGTTTTGTCACTTTTTAAACCCTTGTCTTCAATGAGCACTTCTTTTTATTGTACTGCAAGTGCATTCAAAGACTGTCACAATTTGGTGGATTATAATCAACTTATTAAAGTTTGTCTTTGTTAACAGCAATATTGTGATCAAGATTATATTTATGCATATCTTAGTTCAGAAAAGTTTGAAAATGAGGTTTTGGATTTCTCATTTATTCTGACCAGAAGCAGTCATCGATGGATAACAATAACACTTGAATAGATATATACCACCTATTTATCTAAGGCGCTTGTTTATAAAGTTAACTGTCCGATACAAAATTTCAAATATATGGTGCAAGGCTTAATTAATATATCTTGAGCGTTTGAGATTCTCATTTGTTTTTGATTTGTAAAGTTTTAAAATATCACTGTTATTAATTGGTCTTTGGTCAAAATCCAGCGAAAAATCTATTTTTTTTGTTCGTTACACCCTTTTATCTTACAACAAAACAGAACCATATGTGGCCGTGGTAGACACAAATTATAATAGGGATTTTTTGTGGCACGTTTTCATCACGTATCATCAGGTGTAACAAAAAATTATCATTTGATACCCTCATAATTATTAATATCATATCATTCACCATAGTAGTCTGAGATGTATGTTCTGTTCCCATGCTGCATGGATGAGCGGATGACAGCAAATAGCGAACATAATGACCATGTCGAGTTAGCACATTTGCATCATGATAGCGTGATGACTGTACCCCATACCTGGTATGAAAAGCATACGCCAACATGTAAAGTCGTTTAGAGAAATGAAGAAAACAAGAGAAATGTTGTGAAGTCCAAGAACAGCATGTCATCATACTGTGCACAATACATACACGTTTTTGAAATAATAGGATATGTCTGTAGTGGCTGTTTATTTATAAAACACACTTATGGTAATATATGTATTTTTGGCTCTGAATGTATTGTGATTCTGATAGGATTATAGCTGCATTAACTGTTCTATTTCAATGTATGCGAATTACTGATAAAATAAACACAGAAATTTGTACATAAAAAAATATTTATGTCTGGTCTAGAATGTTGTTTTCGGGGCTGCTTTCAAGGTTTTGAAAGAACTTTAGCCATCCGAAATAGAACGTGCCAGAATGGATATTAAATAAGATACTCTGATTTGATGTTTCGGGTATGTTTTATGTGAAGCAAAAATGTACGGCAAAGCCGCAACTGAAACGTCGTTGCAGAATAACTTGCGTTTGAAAATTTCCTATTGAACAACTTGGAGCACTAAGTTGTTCAAGTACAAAAATTCAAACTCGTGGCCATTGGTTTACTGAATACTCTTTGGTTTTTCATTTAGAATCTTGTAAACAGATTAAATCATCTAAATTGACAGAGTTTCTAACTTTATTGTATACATATCACGTGACATTAAAAGGAACAGTCTAATGTGTGTATTGCGATTTAACAATGCCATTCATGTTGATATTAGTATTTTACTATGTAATATCAAGTAGTTTTTATAGTTTTTAGAGTCGATTTCACCAGTTCTGTTGGTCATGACCATAATATTGATGTTGCCCTTGCCATCGGCTCTGGTATCATCAATATTATGGTCATGACCACCATCCCTTGGGCAGGCAACAAATCGTGATATTGCCCTCGCAAGCATGTGTTAATATTTAAATGTCACATTCATGATTATCCATATGCTACTTGAATGGAGTGCTTTCGGGAGTCTGTCACATGTATTAAATATCCATTGCTCAGTTATTTCCATTCTTCTCAGATGTAATACGTTCTGTTCATTGTGACGATCGCGCCTCCTTAATTTGCTGGTTTGATGACAGCTTGTGACGGTGGTTGGATTTCACGTCAAACTCTTTGGTGGAAACAGTTGATATTTTGATCCAATTTATGAGATCGATTTACAGGAAGTGTCTGGTATAAAGAACCTTTCTGTTGACGTTGTGATTGAGTGAACGTGCAATGAACACCTTTCATTGGACCCGAAGTTCTTCTCCGTCACAACTAGCCTATTGTTCTGTATGCAACGGTCTCTGATGCGTTCATTGATTTGTCTTTGCACAGTTTTGAATAATACATCGTATTCAATTTATACCTGAAAATATGCTATTTGGCACAGTGAACTTGTTCAATATTTAGGTTCCGATCGAACGGCATATCATTTTAGGAGTTGTCCTATAATATGGATGTAAAACGTAGTCATCCTCGTCAAAATAAATAATATCGAAAAATAGCATATGCATTTCCCGTTAAAAATGGATCATTTAAATACAGATATATGTAAAATACTCACGTGTTATTATTAACAACCTCCATGATTGTTTGGTAAAGACTTTCCTCAGTTATGTCACTGTAAAAAACTGTCTTTCCCATGCCTTTTTTCTGTACTTTTGCAGCGTTATCAAAGTGGTCAGCGCCCAATGGTATATTCACCATGGGAACGCCATGATAAATAGCTTCATATATACCATTGGTACCTGCATGGTTTATGAATACCACTGTCTTTGAATGACCTATATGAATAAAACAAACAATTATAAGATGCAGAGAATAATACTGGTAGTGTCTTTTATATAATTAGAATTTGCAAATTGTTATATCACTGATAATTTGACATCTTTTTAACTGAAATGCCGAACTTCGCCCTGGATATGATGTAATGCTTTAGATTTGACGTCTCTGCAGTAATACTGTGATAATCGTCTTCAAACTTTATTGTCCATGTTAGTATTTTCCTACATGAAGGCGGGTACGAAAATGTTTAGGACCATCTAAATACATTGTATGTGTCCTTACATATGTACCACACTACTGTGCTGTTATTTCTGGAAGAATTTCGTATTAAGTGAAAAAAATGTAAAATTATCTTACCCAGTAAGTCATTTTGAGGTAACCATTTCATTACCTCGGTATTGTTCCCTATATTAGATGGAATACGTCCAGATAATCTCCATATTACTTTCAAAGGTAACCTTGCAAGTGCTCCAGATAATATATGAGGTAGTTTACCCAAATAGTCTCCTGTTAATTTTGCGTACCACGTTCCCATTGCCACGATAGCTACTCCATTCTCTGAATTCATTGCAAATTATTCGAGTTTCTGAAATATGAACACAATAAGCAAAATAATCATCTATATCCGTCGCCCATGTAGTATAATATGATTGACCTTCAGCAAACATAGTTTTCTATAGTTGTTCTGTGGGATTAAGTCACAACCATATTTGTAGCAGCAAAACATGGCTGTAATGTAATGTAATCTCACTCAATGTTTCATCTGAAGGTTCACTGAAAAACTTGTTTCTGACATTATATGACGTAACGTATGATACAAATTGTAATATCATGGGTTAATATTGGTACGTATATTTTACGGGGTACTTTCATTCTACCATATAAGGAAATGCGAATTCCAAATATGGAAGGATTATTGGCGTAAGCGTCCTCTAATAATCATGCTGATAATCCGCTGCGCGTCAGTCGATACTCTCGCTGTACTGCCTTCGTGCATACTTTGAGGTACCCTCATAATAACCTCATAAGATAAGTGTTTCAAAGAAGACATTGCGTCGTCGCTATGCCAAATAAAACAATTAAGTAAATACTATAAAATACTATTAATATATTTTCGCTCGAAATTAATTTTCGCTATTTTCGTTAAAGAAATGATTCAGTGAAAATAAAATCCACCGCATATATCTTGTTTCATACATTTTACATTCAACTCGTCAAAAATCAGTGAAAATAAATTCCATACAACACACCGACTAAGTCTTTTCAGCGAAAATTAATTCCAGCTAAAATAAAGTATTTCACAGTATAAACGTGTCTATTTAGTAATACATAAAGTGTTTCAAAAAAGACTTTGTCTGCAGTTGAATAAAGTTGTTTGAAACTAGTTAAGGTCTCGACTTGCGTAGAACTGATTGTCTTTGCTGAAGTTCTTTAAATAATTCATAAAAGTGTAAAAACAATACCCCTCAATTATGAACATCAGTACTTCACATTAAATGAGAAATAAAATGAAAAAAACATTACAATTTTTAAAAAAAAATTCTCGATGTAAATAAACGTGTCAAATTTCTTGCCATAACTTCACAATAAGTATATACTTGGTATTGTTGTTTCCATTGTGAAAAAAAGGACATTAAAACTAATATTTTCACTTGAAATAGATTTACTTTGTTGTAATCCTATTCTCATCCATTCCATTTACAAACATTCCGTTCTATTTTCAACTTTCTATCTGTCCAATGTAATGGTTCTGTTGTTTCACCATTTCTGAAAACAGTGTATACCTTTCTAACCAGAGTTCTGAAGGCTTTGAGGAGGACAACGAACAATAATTCATATTAATTCATATTAATCAATTACCGATATTAACAATATGAATTTATTCTCCACCCACACCAAATCTTTAATCAATCTGAAAAATATATTATCAAAATCCAGTAATCTTTAATCTGATATCATTAATTGGGATACTTGAATATACATTGATATTTCGAGTTTACCTAATAATAAATAACTAAGTAAATAAATTGTTATATTTACTCGCTAAAACATGACGTTTATATAATCGTCTTTGATAAGAGAGTGATCACATAAACAACAATATATATCGATTATATAAATGTATATAAGCACGACAACAACCTATAATATTTTAGTTTCCATATTGTTTTATGTGTTTCGAAATAATATAAGGTTATTACGAGGATACCTCAAAGTATGCATTGTATGCAAAAATTGGTCTAAATTGATTAAAATGACAGAATTTGAGTGGAATGTTTTTATTGGTAACCAATAATAATAAATTTGTTCAAAACAAGGTTGTAATCGAGATGATAGGCATACGCAACTTGGTTCAACAAAGTTGAAAATGAATGTTTGGATTTCTCATTTTCAGAAAATAAATGTTTTTCCAGAAGCAGTAATCGGTTGCATAACTTAGAAATAAAATGATACTGATAGTAGGCAATTCCCTTACTATTAATACGTCTCTGAAACAATGGTCCAGGATGAGTTTACTCACATTAACTGTTTTACGTCAATTGAAGGAAAAAAAATCATGCGCTCTCTTAAAGTCGTAATTAGTGTATATAATATGGTAGTATAATCTGAATTGAAATTCTCTAGCTTTCTAGAGTAAATAGCAAGTTAAATGTGGTATTCCATTCCAGTCTTCAGTTAGTTCATTTATTTATTAATATATTTTTTTTGAAGTTCAATGTATTTATTATCCAAATGATATTGATCTGTATCTAATTATTAATAATTGTGTGCACATTCCAAAGCCTTTCACGCAGGTGCAAGATACATAGCAATATAGCTTCAGTATATCACTTTGACTCGAACGTCTGTGTTTAAAATCTTGCCACTGTATCAGATGGGCATTACGGTACAAGTCAAAAAATATCTTAATTCCTTTACACTCAACTATCAATAAAACACGGATACGACTCCAATTAGTATGTGCATATTATTCCAAATCGTTTGTTCAGAGGCTTAATGGGTTATCATAAACTATGAACGAGCTTCTAATGCTTCGATAGTAGACCATGAGGTGCTTACATTTTGAACATTTTAATTCCTTATTTCAAACGAATATTTGTTTTTCAAAGTTGTGAGATCACTGTTGATAACAGTTCTATGGTAAATTCAGCGAACGAACTATTTTTTTTTTTTTGTGATTACCCCCCTTTAATCTTACAACAAAGCTGAACCATATGAGTCTGTGGAAGACGAAAACGGTGATAGGGGTCACTATTCATCACCGGATATAAACAAGAAATTATCAGTTGATAACCTCATAATAATATATCACGGCCATTTTTAATTAATGTAATATCATTATTGTGATACTTGAATATACAATAATATTTCGAGTTTAACTGATATTTCGAGTAATAATAAATAACTAGGTAAATAAATTGTTATATTGTTGGGAGACTGTTTTAATTTATGCAAGCCATCGTTAAATAGAGCATAATGCACAGTTATGGTGTTCCAAATAAGGCCCCAGAATATGAATACAAGATAAATTCGTAAACAAATAAAGGGAAGGGCATTTAAATATTAGGGATATTTTGGGGTAATATTGATAGCATGATTTGAAGATATTATATACATATTTTATTTTGGCAGTGGTTAAATAAAACAATTGTACAACCTACAATTTTTGCATGCTATTCTTTGCGACATGTTTTCGTTGTCTGCAACATAGACATGGCCAAGTATCATGTTCGGGAGCTGTCAGAGCAAGATTTTCTTGCAGAAACCGAAGAATTCGTCCAGACGGAGATAAAGAAACGCTTTGCCAATTTTAATAAAATTGACCTTGACGATTTCGAAACATAAGCTAAAATGTATGCTACAGGCGGCGAAAATTGTCCCGTTGCAGCATTTCAAAAATGTATTTGTCCAAATTGCAAAATGCGTTGTTTCAGAGGCCCCGTGTAAATGTAAAACCCACTGACAGTTTGGTATTCGTAAAAATAAATTGGGATCTATGATGAAAGAGATTTCGAAAGCAGCAAATTTGTTGACAATTTATACAAATCATTATGTTGGGGCAACTGCGTGCGCTATGTTAGATTTGGCAGGAGTTGAAACCAGACACATTATGTATTTCACGGCACATAAAAACGAAGCTAGTGTTCGGTCTTACACCAACAAACTCACAAATAATCAGAGTCAAGTAATGTCCAGTATCCTGTCTCGCAGCTTTTGGGTATAAAAACAAATCCTCTGGTAGAGAAGTGTGACCGTAGCGATCGAAGCGGGTGTTTCCGACAACGTCATCGTACCCCAGAAAATACCAGCATAGTAGCGTCTGGACCAACTCCTGCAGAATCTGGCACCGCTTCTATTTCTAATACCCACAATCAAAGTACACAAGCGGCATCTGCTTTGTTCCATAACTGCACCTTTAGTGGAACAAACACAAAATAGAAAATTCGACAACGATATTAAGTCCACAGCACATGTTTTCAAAAATGGCGCACAGTGCGCGCTGCCTGTAATGTTCTGCTGATGAAATTTATTCACAGCTATTCATATGTAAATTAAGCGTTGAGCTTGTTCAGTTTATTCATGTTTATACCTCCATGGTTTATTCAATTTCCAATTATTTGCTAGTTTCTTGCGTTGTAGAAATAAACTTCATTTGATTGTGATATCTAAACTTGCTGTTCTGTGTGTCTCTGTGTACTGAGCGCGAGTGTGTGATAAGAAATTAAATACTGGTTCCAGGGCCCATTTCATCTGATCACCGTCTCGACCAGCCAATGCTCATTACACGTCGTTCGAAAACGACTCTTTCTTATTTTGTAAAAAGGTAGAGAGTGTCGAAAATGCTACAGAAATGAAGTTGGTATAATATAATAGCAATAAACAATTGCACAATATCTCGTGGTTTACCCGTCTCTGGCGGTGGTTTATTGCTTAAATATACCATGGCCATTTTTTATTACAAAATAGAGAGCAAAAGCCATATTTTAGGCTAATATTGACATTTATAAACTAAATATTTAATTTTGTGACTTACCTGCTCCAGTGGCATCGCAGGTTTGACTGTAAGTGCACCATATGGCACTACATTTGTTGAAAAGGGACGCGGAAAATCAAGGATGAAATCTTTGTTCCATAAAATAAGTTCAGCATCTTGTATTTCATAATAATTGTTGTCTGCTATAACGCCATGTTTTAGATTCAGTGCATGCACATTCCATATAAACATATACTGATATATCAAAGCACCAACAATACCCAGAAGAGTATTGTGAACTCTCTCGATGAAACTCATTGGTATGGCCATACCTGTAGTCATGACAGGGGTATATGAAAGTTGGAAAGGAACGTAATGTTGGACATCTAATATAGTGTTAGATAAACTAGTGTAAATGAACGGAAGGTCTAGCATCTTTGCAATCATAGAACCACATAACGAGACATCTTCCAAGACTACTAAATCAAAACGTTCAGACTCCAAGTGTTTCATAAAACTAGTGCGTTCTTCTAACATGCTGT